ACCATTATGTTCCAGAGTAAAGAACTTTGTAACAATCTGTAAATTGTTGACAAATACAATGTTACCCTCAATGTCTATATATTGTCCGTGCTCTCAAAATCCAAAATTTTTAGTCCTAAGGTACAGTCCTTCCATTTAACTACAATACTATTCATTTAATTTGTTATTTTCTTTGGTTTTTACTCAATGACTTGTTTCCTTTCGAGCTGCGGCAAGTCACAGAGACTATAGATATATGTGTGAAGGATGAAATTGTAAATTACACACTTATTATGCACTTTTCAGAGCTAATTATAATTGAAATTGAGTGGATTTCTATTCATAATTGTGTAATTTTCACTTTTGTAGGCAAAAACCCGACAAAAAATAGAACGAAGCAAAAAGGAAGAAAAAAAGGACTTAAAGCGTTGGGGATCAAAGCGCACAAGCAAGAAAGTTGGAGGACTTGGGGTGCAATTTCTCGAGGGCATAATTGATATAAAAGTCAATATTCGAGAACCAAAGTGTACAAAAACATAGTTGAGGGGCTTGATGCGCAATTAAGGTTTTGGCAATAATTTTGGGAAATCATTGACAAGCTTCAACTATAGTTTATTCTATAGGTTTTTCTCATTTATTTTGTCATTTTTGTAATGTATTGTATAAATACTTCCCTTTTTATCATAATTTATAAAATGAGCTAAGTCTTGTGTGTTGGGATTTTCACAATAACTTAACCTAGTTTCATTAATATCTACATATGTATTGAATGATGTCTATGTTATCAAAAGCATGGTGTATTAATTATTGTGTTTGAAATAATTTCATTTACTTGATCACTAGATGAAGTTGTAAGGTAGTTTGGGCAATTATTGAGAAATTGTTGCACTTACAAGGCCGAAATGATTAATACCCTAAATTTGCACTAGTATATCTATTACGTGTTTAGGTGATATAGAGATATATACCTACTCTAAGTGACCATTTTGAGTTATTCTCACAACAATTCATGCAATTATTTAAGTTTGTATCGACATAGAAATATGTGGTATGAATTAATTAATTAGGGTTAATATCCCTCGAAAGAGGGTATTGATTTAAAATAGAAAAATTGGGTCTGACTTTGTATTTTGGTAATTTGCATCGACGTATTATTGGATTGATATTAATGAAATAAAGGTTAAGCGAAGTCGTAAATCCCAACCACATTTTTCTTTCAAAATTTCCAAGTAATTGTGTTTTTCCTATTTTGTAGATTTTTAGTTTATTTACTGCATTTCAAATCTTATGTTTAATTGTGTGTTTCTTTTGATTGTTAGAATAAAATTAGTTAAAGTTGTGTAATTTAAAGTATACATTCCTCGTGGGATCGACAATCCGGACTCTTAAGGTCTACTTTAATACTTGAACGCGACCCGTGCGCTTGCGGTACGATTTTCAGCGAATAGTTAACTCTTGCGGTACGATTTTCAGCGAATAAGTTTTTTGGCTTCAAAAGGCTCTCTATATGCACGTCTTGTAGGAGTCAACCAATGGCTTGTTTGCACAAGTAATAGATGCATAGCATGTTTATTATATTCTTTTTAAGCTTAGATGTAATCATACTCGGTATGAATGGTTTTTATTTGTGTTTTGGTGAAATATTTTGGATTCAATGTTACATTGATTGACACTAGATGTCTTAATTAATTTATTGTATTTTTGCATCTTATATTATTATGAATAAGGTTTAAAAAATTACAACAATATAAATAACAAATACAACATATGAAAATAATTTAATTTCTCCCTATGAAACCTTTCCCCGTCAAAACAATTAATAGCCTACAAATATGTTTTCCTCACGAAAATAAATATTTGTAAGAAATACAGGGTTTAGCCCTCAAAATAATTTGTAACTTGTTGTCATAAATATGCTTTCCACGCCAAAAATTATTTGTAGGGAAAAGCGAAACCGTTTCGTGGGCAAAATTAACTTTATTAGACAAATGATTTTGTCGGACGAAAACTTACTCGACGAATTGTATTCGTCTTCAAAGGGTTCGTAGGTAAAAATTTTAGCCCACAAATTGCAAAAATTTATTGTCTTTTACCTATCCCCTCGATCTTTGCCCCCAGAAATATGTCTACAAAATTTTTCCGTCTACAAATTTTTTTCCCTACAAATAATTTTTGTAGGGAAAACATAAATTTCTTGTAGTGAACGCCATTAAAACCCATAGATGTTTTAATGCATTAAAAAAAAAAAAAAAAATCAAGAGACAAAACACTATAAAAATGTAATCCTTACTTTTTCAAATTCCTCTTCATATATTGATTTGTCTGTATATATTTGCTCTAACGAAGTCACTTCCATTGTTTACTAAATTCTTTGTCTATTGAAGTTCTGAGTATTGGGATGCTTCAAACATATTAAATTTTCTACTTCAAACATATTAAATTTTCTCTGGTCTATTAGGATTCTAGTTAAACAAAAGTTCTAAAAAAATATAAAAAGATTTAAGATAATTTAACGAAAATAAAAATTAGTTGATGAATTCAGAGTTCTTTATTTTTTTTATTTATGTCTATTGAAGTAAATTTACATAGGATTTAAAATACAATAAAATTTTATTTATAAAAGTGAATGTATATATAAAAAGTGTGGATGGAAATAGTAGTATCATTATTTGTGGTTGAAAATAAGTTTTGGAAAAATATTTTTTTAGAAAAATAGGGTCAAACAAGGGCTTAATATGTATTAAATAAATATATTACTAATAACTCACCCCCCACCAACCATCATAGACCATTGCGCGAAGAGCAACGACACACCTAGCACATTGACTTTCATCATCGCTACGTAGGGACGATGGTTTTGAGGTTTTGTGGATGGTTTATGGGGTTTTGAGAAGGTTTCTTCCTACTCTAATCTGATTAGCCAGAGTCTTGGGTGGTTTTGTTGGTGGTTAGCAAATGGGGGTGATTGTGCATGTAGTGTTAGTGCTAGTAGCGGTGGTGATTTCTTCCTTCTTCGGTTTGATTTGATTAGAGTTTTGGGGTGGTATTTATTGGTTGTTGGTAGTTCGCAAATGGTGGTGATGGCGTAGGGGTGGTAGTGGTGAAGGTGGTGGTGTTGCTCACAATGAGATGGTGCAAGTTGTAGAGAAGACAGTGGCAGTGGTGAAGTGGTAAAGCATTAGGTTGGTGTCGATGGTGAAGTGGGGTTGGGCTGGGGTGAAGAATGTTTGTGATCAATTATTCCGATGATTGTGACGAATAAAATGGTTAATTTGTGGTCAATAAATAATATATGACCAATAAAATATATAATTTGTGACCTAAAATAATATAAGATTGTGATTAAATTTATAATGTGACTCATAGTTAGTTAAATTACGATCAATTAAATTGATAATTTGTGACTGTGAAATAAATTGTGACCTATAAAATTTGTGATTTACGATCGAGAAATAATACGTGACATATTATTTTGATAATTTGTAACTGAGAAATAAATTGTTGTTGGAAATATGTAATAAAATCTGGAAAAAACTAATGAACTCCAAGGCACGAAAAACGTTATCTTTGAAGAGATGTTTCTCCCCTTTCCAACAAAATCACGATCGGGATATGATAGAAAACCTCTCTCATGATACAATGGAGGCGTTTGATTCAAATTGTGACTATTTGATCAAACCAAGAAAACACTCTATAACGAAACTGATGATGCCAAGAGAAAAGAGAGAAGAATATAAAATATCGAATTTTTTAATGTATCTTGCAAATGAGAATTTGCTCAAAATATATAGAAGTGGAGGCAACCTTTTGAATGGGTGTGTCCCTTGAAATGAATGGACGCATTTGTTGGAAGAAACATACCTATTCAAAGTCTTCTGAAAATAAAATTCTCTTTCGGGGGCGTTGCCCCCGAGCCCCCACGACCTGACCGGGCAGGTCGATCCCCGTTGCGTAGCGGCAAACACTAGTCGAAGCGGCAAAATATTCGCAAAATAAAAGATAACACATGCAAAATGATGAAAAATATCTAACAATTATAACCTATAAATTTTATGATTTATGATCGAGAAATAATTCACGATCAATTAATTTGATAATTTATGATCGTTTAATAAATTATGACTTATAAAATTTATGATTTGTGATTATGGCGTCCTGTGATTGTGACTTGTACATAACTGTGATAATAAATTGCGTTATATTGTAACATTAATACCTTATTTTTTGGTATTATTTTTTATAATGAAAACTTAAAGCATGTTTTCATCTAATAATTTCCTATTTTTCAACTGAACTCCAAAAATAGCTTAAAAGCTATTATTGCTCATTGGCTCCTTCATGTTTAACTTCAACTAAATGGATCAAGTGGATTGGAACCGCCTAGTCCAGATATGCTAAGTTCTCATTAGGCCCATTACCAAAAGGCCCAACACCAACATATTAGGTTTTTTGGGCTCCACGTGCCAAATCTCAAACTAAATTCAGATAGGGAGATCAAGTGGTAAATCACTTGGTTTGTTTAAAAAAGATGTAGTTAACAACAAATCATTTCAAATTTTATCTTATCAAAAAACACTGTTACCAGTACCCTATCAAGAATCGCCTCTAATTCTATAAATTCAACACTAGGAACTCAAAATAAGACTCAAACAACAATTCTCTATCAATCTTTTATTCCCGACATTGAAAAATTGATCTGAAATATTTGTCTGTTGTGTTCAACGGTTGATGAAAGGCAGTGTCGTACTAGTCAAAGTATGTGGCATGTAGCAAAAATCAAGCACTAAATCACTAGTTTATCAATTCTAAAACACATCACATCTTACTTGAATGAGTTAGCCTATCAGTTATTTTTCAAGAAATTGGAGTATACCAACCAAGAAAATTGACATTTTACCACTTTACACCCTCAAAATTGACCATTAACCAAAATTTAATAACCCAAAATTCAACCACATTTTGCTGATCCTCTGTTGATTTATTTCGCTCCTTTGGTCATTTTTACACACACAATCACAAAAATGGCAGATGAAACCAAGCATAATCCGGGTACACCACACTATAATATAACTATGTCAAGAAGAACTAGACGGCCTAACAATCTCAAAATAGAGCCATTTGGAAGTACGTGTTTTGAAGAAAATAAGTGTTCAGGGGATGAAGAAAAGGTGTATGGAGGACATAAGAATGATGATCATCATCAGCAGAAAAGCTTGAAGGAGCTGATTGAAAGCAGTTGTCCACTTGCTCAGCACTTGGAGATCAAGGAAGAAGAGAAGCAACAAGATCTGGTCATTATTCGAAACGAAAAAGGAGTGAAATTCAAGAAAGTTGTGAGACATTGTGTTGACGCTATGAGCAGTTTGATCAAGGTAAAACAAGACCCTCCTTTAGGGCCCCGGAAAAAACCGATAGGACCATTAACATTTGTCAAGAAGAAATGAACATTTTCGAGTATTTACTAGAAAATGTGAAGGAGTTTTGCGTGTTAAACATGAACATATAATGATCGAGTGTGCGTGCATTGATCTTGAAACTATGATGAATACTATGGATAGTTGCACAATGTATTTCGGCAAGATTGATTTTGTGATATTTTGTTGATTCTACAATATTATTTTTCTAATATTTAAATTATGTAACCAGTTTAGGATCTTTCTTTTTAACCCTATAAAGAGGGTCATTCTGGTGCTTCCAGTCTCAATTTTAGTTTATTTTATTCAGAACATAACGGAAAAATTTTACTGTGTTCATTGTTTAGCGTTCGGGTGAATTAGGATGCAAGTTGAGGAGACCTGAAGAATTACGCTTACAGAGTCAAAAATTCAGATGACAGAGGGAAAATGCAATTTGTTCTTCTTGTAGAACCATTTTTCATTTACCCACAAACTGCCAATTAATAATTTGGTGCAGAACTAAACCAAAAATCTGCCAAAATATGAACCTAGCAGTATAAATGAATTAATAATCAGCCCCAACATGACAAGTATAATTTGCATGGAAAACTCAGGATCAGACCGGGCCGGTTCAACCAGGGGCTCAAACTCAATTTGGTGTATACCCCAACCAAATTCAGTTTGAAATTCAAATTGATCCGAGCAAGTTATCCTTTCCAACGTTCAAAGGATATTTCGGATTTGCATTTATCATGTCTAAGCCAGCCAAAGAACTTGAGGCATAAACCTCAAAGAACAAGGTCAAAATTAAAGGGTGTGTATTCATTTGGAACTTTTAAAGACTTTCCAAGGATTTAAAAAATTTAGATGTACTCAATTAAAACTTTTAAAAACTCTCTAAAAGTTTAGATGTATTCAATTGGAACTTCCCCCATTGACTTTTAAAGTCTCTAAAGTCATGTGGTATCAAATTGAAACTTTTTAAAAGTCTCTTTAAGTCCTCAGGTATTCAACTAGACGGTGAATTTTGAAAAATTCTCTACTTACTGGACTAGAGATGGCAATGGGGCCCGCCCCGCCTTGCCTTGCCTTAGAAGAATATTATGAATACCTTATGAATGAATCTCATAAGATAATAATTGGAATACAAGATACAGATCGTATCATAAAGAAAAAGAGGAATACAAATAAAATAAGAATAATAGTTTTTGATTTTCAAGAATTATTAGAAAATAAAAATTTAGGAACTTTAATGAAAGTATCTATTTGTAATGAAATAAGAACATTGGAAAGAATAGAAACTACTCTTGATAATGAACTTGATAGGCTTCAAAATATCTCATAAATGAGAAGACCTGTTCAAAATAAATTACCAAAAGCTTGTAAAGAAATAAGATTTGAGCACATGCTTATATTTTACTTAAGAATAATAAATAACGGGATTACTTTAAAAGATATAAAATTATACTTATATCTTACAGATCTAAAAGAAATAGGTAGAAAATTATGATTGATTGTCATGCCCGTAATACACATATTCTTATCATTACATCTGAATATGTATGTATGAAACTTGTAAAGACATTTATTATGATTCTATGTCAAGAAGACATAAGTCTGCAACAACAAAAAATAAATTAAGCACAATTACTGCTTTACAAAGATATGAATATGATGTTAAGATATTTATCCTACATTATATAACTTGTCATCATGGAAGTTGATAAACATACTAACGATGATAATGAAATCAATGATGAAATCTGTGAGCAGATTGAATCGCAAGGAAACTTCTCAAAAGAAATTTTAATTTCTGATAAGAAGTTAGCAAAAATTTGTAAGACAACACTTACGATAGAATCAAGAGAGATCTTTGATCAACCATGTTTTATTGAAAGATATACGAAGAAAAGTAGACATGTATATTATGGTGTATCTCAAAAAGAGTTTGTCATACATGTACAACATACTTATGGAAGATAGGAATATCTTTATTAACCAAACAAGATATAAATAAAGCAAAATAAAAAATAGATCTTGATAATAGTAAGAATCTTTTTTGGGTAACTATATGAGCTATTAGAATACAACTTCGTAGCACCTTATCTGAAAAAATTGATCAACCTATTTCAATGATGTTGATTGATGAAAGAATACAAAATCTTGCTGAAGGATGTCTAGGAGCCCTTGAAGGGAATCTAGCTTGTGGAAAACTGTTGTTTACAGTGTATCCAAGACTTTCAGTAAGTTTACATGACCAAAACTTTGATGGAATACTTTCTTTTATATACAAATATAGAAGAACAGATTTAGTTAAAGAAAATAATGTACATTTCTCAATTTCATACTTGGTTAGTTATGCAATTCATAACCAACACAATATGACAATTGTTAAAGAATCTAAAGGAATAAAGATTGACCCTTTTATTCTCAGATTGCCTTGAACATAAAGAAACAAAATTTGAATGGTTAATACAACCATCAAGAAAATCTTTGGATATTGATTTTCATGAACAAAGAAAATTAATTAAAGAACAAAAACCACTTCTTTCAACAAGAAGTTTATCTTTCAGACAACCCTTTCCAAATGTCAAATGGAAAGAAGAATCTGAAACAAGTACAAGTAAATAATTGAAACAATTGAATAAAAAGATTAATGAAATAGTTGAAAATCTTTTTAGAGAAGAATGACAATAAATGACATTCTAAAAGAATTAAAAGATTTAAAAAATAGTATTGAAGAAGTAAAAATACTTCTAAAAATACTACAAGTCAACACAGAAAAATCTATGGAAAAACATTCTGCAGTTATTATTGCAGGAGGAGTAAAAACAAAAGAATAAATTGAAGCTAAGAAAATTCTAAAGATTTCTTTAGGAATTTTTGAAAAAACGGGAGATATTGAAAAAAATACAGGAACATCAAAATGAAAACTTGATATTAACTTTTTAAGTTGATATGACAAATTTAAGAAAAAAACCTTGAAAACATTTATGAAATAAGTAATGACTTAAGACTTTTAAATGTACTTCTTGCATTTGAAGATTCTGAACTTCAAAAAATTGAAAACATTGTTAAAAGTATTAACATTGGAAAACAAGAAACTATTATAACAATTGAATTAGAAGAAGAAAAATCTAATGATTCAGAACCAGAACTTTTTGAAAACTTTGATGAAAGTGACTGAGAAGTCATAATTCAAGAAAGATTTAATACTACAAGTGAACCTGGAATTGTTATAAGAGAACCTAAGACAGAAACTATGAATTTAGAACCAACTAGTTCTAATCCAAAAGGGGATGGAAAGAGGAAAATAGGAGATCAAAATCCTATATCAATTCCTACCCACTAAGATTTAAATACAAATTTATTACAATCTGAATTTGTACCTAAAAAAATAAATCAGCAAGTAGCAATCTTAGATTTAGATTGTACACTTGAACTAGAAAAACTTATTGATGCATGGTACAGCCATATAATGGTTGCTAAGATAATCAATAAAGAAATAATTACACACGAATCAAATTCTTGGAATTATGTGTTTACTAGCACTAGAGGAAATGCAAGAACTTTCCTTGAAAGATTTGATGACAATGTCAAAAATAATATTTGGAATGATGCTGAATACAACATTCCAAAATTTGTTAAAAGAATTGTTGAACAACTCTATAAACAGTTTACTGGATTAACTTATGAAGTTTTTAAGAATAAGGACAACAGTTGAAATTGCAGATGCATTAAATCATTTAGAAAAAAAAAATTTCTATTTGTGATATGTGCTATTTTGAAAATTATGCATGTGAATTTTCAAAATATTTTTACATTAGTCCCAGTGATAAATGGGGTGAACTAACTGAAGAATTTATAAGAAAGCTTCGTGAACCTTTCAATTATGAGGTAATGGAACTACTAAATAATGCAATAATAAGTCAAGAAAATCATATTGACCCAAGACTTAATGTTAAAGTTGAAAGTTCAATAGGACTAATTATTACTTTAACTAAAAATCTTATTGCAGATAAATGTAAATAAAGTATCTTAGTTAGAGATAGTAGACAGGCTTTTATAAGCAATCCTAATTATGTTACGATAAATATTTCAACAAAATACCAGGATAATATGGTTGTTTACCATCTAAAAAAGAAAAAAGAAAAATTTTTAAAAAGAAAAAGAAATATATCTTTAAAAGATACAAAAAACCATATAAACAAAAATTCTTTAGGAAAAGAAAATTTTTTAAGAAACAAAAATTTCCCAAAGAAGTGAGAAAAGATAAAAAATTGGATAAAAAGAAATTTTGTCCACAAAAGAAAAAGAATTGCAGATGTTGGCTCTGTAATGAATCTGGACATTATGCAATGAATACCCAACAAGACTTGGAAATAAAGAAAGAATTAAACTTCTTGAAACTTTCCAAAATCAAGGATTCTATCCAGTATAAGATCCTAGTGATACATAATCTTTGTATTACTTAACTACTGAATCTGAATTTGATGATTCAGAAGAAACATCCGAAGATGAGTAATAAAAATATTAAAAATCATAATTCAATATATATTCCTATAAAATTAAATTTTGAAGGATATAAAAAATTTACAGTTCATGCTTTTGTTGATACTGGGGTGTCAATATGTACAGCAAGTAAATGGATTATTCCAAAACAATTTTGGGTACAATCTGAAAGAATTATAAATCTAAAAATTGCAGATAAATATGAAGTAAAAGCCTCTAAAGTTGTGAAATGATTAAATATTGAAATAAGTGGATTCCACAAATCCCAATGTAAAACCTTTTATTTCAAAATTCCTACCTTATACCAACTTGAAACTGGTATAGATTTTATGATTGGTAATAACTTTTGCCAATTATATCATCCTTTTATTGAGGAAATTGAATATAAAAGTTTTACTATCAATAGTAATAAACTATGGATTTCAAAACAAAGAAAAGCAATGGCAATGAATATTTTACAAGAAAAATTCTTGAAAAATATTGCAATTAATAATAAAAAAGAAAAATTCAAAAATTTAAGAGGGGAGAATATTATT